CTGAAACTCTCAGACTGAAGAAGTCTCTTGGAGGAGAGACGAAACGTTTCATTAGAGAAGAACCCGTCCAGAAGACCTATACAATTTTTTTTTTTAGATCTGCAGAAATTAGCAGAAAGAAGCACAGAAAAGTTTAAATTCCTAGAATAACCGAAAATGTCAGAAAAAAATACTTTAAAAGCAGAATAAAAGCTAATATCACCAAAATAGAAGCTAATGGAATCTGAAATTAGCACAAAAAGTAAATAAACAAAAAACAAATAAATAACAGAACCAGAACAAAATGTAAAAAGTACAGTAAAGATTTATGAGGATTTATTTTAAAGGGTTTAATGGATGCTGCAGACAGCTTCATTAATTTTCTATGAAAAAAAAAGGCAGAAAAAGTTGAATATCCCAAAAAGTATAAACTGCTGAAATACCAAAGTCACAGCCAGAATGTCCTGCAGTAGAGTGAAATGCTTGATAAGCATTCAAACAGACACTACAATGGACATTGACCTGCTGATTAGTTGAGAACTTGCAGTCTACTCAACTAGACAACCACAAGCAAAAACAAACACACACAAAAACAAGCACACAGCCAGGCTATTAGCTGGATGTGTTGTGTTGGGGTCAAACACAATCTGTTGGAAGATGAAAGATGATTCCAGTCTGAGGACATTATGTAAGGTTGTCCAAACAGGACAAGACGACTGCCTGAGCAGAGAAAAGACAGTGGGCTTATCGGGGCTTAAAGGAGTCAGGCTGATGAAGTGTCTGGTGTGAAAAGGACCAGATGAAGGCATTTAGGAGGTTTACATGTTGCACATTTGTTGATGGAAGAACAGAAACCAGAGCTATGGGTAAATGCAAACAATACAAAAGCCCTACTCTGCAGAAGATCTGGTTTGTGAGAAGATTAGAAACTTTCCCACCAAGAAAAGTTCCCACAACCTGCCGTACTGTGTATACTATGCTGCATTAAACAAGTGGTAGGGACATACAGCTGCTACAGAGCCTCGTGTCTGCATCATCAGAGGAAGAATTTTCTCCTTAATGGAGGAAAATGAGTCTCAGTCAAGCCATATTTGTGTTTTGGACAAGTAACCCCAGTGGTATCCAAAGTATCCCAGAAATAGGGTCATCAAAGGAGACAGAGAACGAAATGGCTTCGTATAGAAAAGGCATGAATAGCGAGGAGAACTATGCACCTCCTCCTGTGGGAACACAGAGTGAAAAACCAAATGCAAGCTGAGAGCTGAGGTTATTTCCCTCAACACTAGAACTCGTGTTTCCATTCTCCCTTCCCCGTCTCCATCCCTCAACCTTTCATTCATTCCATTCCAAACAAGACTTCTCATCCTTTCACACCTTTTTCCCATGATGAGAGACTTTGTCTCCCTGCAGAGTTTTAAACGCAGGTCCTATTTTCACCTCAGCCCCCTGCGACGCTGCAGAGGAGGCCTGTTACACTGACGGAACAAAGTGTCAAGTGGAAAAATCTGTCGAAACCTGACTCAAAGCATCTACTCCAAAATAAACCTGACATTTTTTTGTATACAAAGCAGATCTAGTTTAACAGCAAATTTCTTTACTCACCAAAAGGTTCAAAGAGCTAATAGTGACACCTCTTTTTAAAATGTAGTCTCTCTAAACAAATAAAAAT